GATAAGTGTGGCAGAAGCCAAGGGAAGGATCTGAGGGGCATTCATGACAATGTGCCTTTCACTAAAATAATTTTTTTATTTAAACATACAGTGTAATTTTTGGATCACACCTCTTAATGTACACACGCACACACACACACAGATGGAAAGAGAACATTAGTTAGGGCTCCCCTACTGACTTTTCTTTCCCCTTTCTTTCCTTTCTTTTCTTTCTTTCTTTCTTTTCTTTCTTTCCCTATCACTATTGTTTTTCAATGACCCCATGCATTGTGATGGCTTCCACTACCCCTTACAAATTACATGTAAGTGATCTGCAAGCAGGAAAGCCACACATCTTTCTCACAGAGCTACTTTTCTCCCAGACGGATGAAAGCTGATCCTCAACAGAAACTGATACAAAGAACGATCATATATTTTTACAAGGCTGCAGTCACAGATGGTACAACTGCTTATACTTGTTAGTATTCTGGTAAACACTATGTGACATGTCTACAAGGCTGAGAGATTTATCTTGTTAGTGGCCACATACCAGCCCCTCAGATGGATTCATCTCAGCCAATTTTTAGCACTGTCTTCCTACAAAGTATGGAGCCACCTTCCAATTTTCATAATTATATAAAGTATGCTGTTGCTCAATTATCATTCTCCACTTCTAAGGATCATTTCCTTAAGATTCACTCCCAGGAATAGAATTCTGATCAACACAAGACCAATGAAACCCACTGCTCAGGAGATTGAGAGAGTTTGCCACCCGTCACCACCTCCCCTAGCTGTGGATGGATGGGAACCAGCACAACCTACAACAGCACAGCTTTGGCTAATGCATCACGTTTTTTAAAACTTTACTAATACATTTTAAAAGACTCCTTATTATTTAATTTGCTTATCTTTGATAACAGAGAAAGCTAAAGATGACTCAGAAGTCCTCTTTGGGGGCTTTTTGTTTAATTCAAATAAAAGCTTTTCATGGAGACAGAAAGGTAGAGGTAGTCCCTAATATGGGACTGTGTTGGTTTTCAAAACCTCAGAAGAAAATGCAACTTGGTGGTGCTGGTGGTAGTGGTGATACTGAATCAAGCCTTGGGCCTTGAGCCCTCGAGATGAATGTTCTGCTACCGAGCTACACCTCATCTTGCCACCCTGAGCCAGCTGCCTGCATGGAACCCAAGTGTACAATTTGGGAAACAGAACTGAAGAGTCAAGGTGGCCACATCAGTAGGGACAGAAGAAGGTACTGTCACACAGGTATCTGTTATGTACCTAATCTCTTTCATTTCACTTAACTCTCATTTAAAAAATCCCAGTGATGCAGATATTATTGTGACCCTGCATACTGAAAAGAAAATGGGGCTAGCAGGTCATTCGTCCAACACTTAATTTTGCGAGCAAGAGCAGACCTGGATTTGTCAATGCCTGGCATCATCAGAGCCCAGTTCCAGAGGAGGAAGCGGGAACCTGGCTGAATTGGGATTAATGGTGGCTGGGCAGGTCAGGTAGTAGACAGAATTGGGTGGTCTGTGCCTTGGAGGCCCAGCTTATACAGGCAGACGCTCATCTAAAATGAGTCAGTTAGGCTGGGGATTTAGCGGCATCAGTGCCTGCCTTGCAAGCAGGCAGTCGTGAGTTCGATCCTTGGTACCGATAAAAAGGAAAAAGACAAAAAAAAAAAGAGTATTGTAAAATGAGTCAGTTAGAGGCCTGCCTCCTGGTCCTGCCAGGATAAAGGTGACCCCCAGCTACAGCAGGAGGCCAAACTATTGTCTGCAGCTGTGTAGGAAACCATTTGAAAGAGTCATTGAAAAATGATCTTTCTAAATCAAGCTGTACCAATATTTTTATTTCCTGTCATGTCATGCCACATTTAAAGGCATTAAAGCCTGGGAAACAAATCTGTGTAACTTAAATTTAGAAAAACAAAGGGTCCCACCCTTTAAGGGAGTGCAAAAGGCCAGATAACATGCATTCTTTGCAGAATGAGTCCTTGTTCTTAGGGCCAAAGGGACATGTCGTGAGAAAGTACCTCTAAACCCAAAACAGTCTTGTGAAACAAATGTCATATATTCCGATATTTATACATATTAGATCCCCGGCTCAGAGTTCTAATAATTTTTTAAAGTAAGAAACTGACAGAGAAATTTAGGTTAATTGTATGGTATAGAATTTATGCTTTGGATAAGTGATAATCAGTCTCTAGTTTGGAACTGGCTCTGCATAGTACTAGGAGAGAAGAGAAATTAAGAGATCTGCCCCTCAACTGAGGCAAACAATAGGAAGTAAAATATGACACCTGCTAGCCTACATATTGGGGTCACTGGTCTTTGCCATTCACCTCTCCCTACAAAGTCTGCTTTGATGGTGAATAAGGCAGATAAATTGTGAAGACCCCAAAATCTAGTAAGGGCCAGGGATGTAAGAATGAGAGAAAAACACCAAAAGCTAGAGTAGAAAACAGCAAGATGTGCTCTCTTCATAGTGTGAGCCAGGGTCAATTCTTATTAAAAATGGAGCCCTAGAGAAAGAATGGGAGGGAGCCACAGACAGAAAGGGTTACAGAGGAGAAACAGGACTTGCACCCCCAGGGAAGCTCCTCTGCCGGTTCCCACAGCTGCAAAAGGGTGAGGCTAGAGTGAAGTTGGCTCTGGGTTTTGCAGAAAGCAGGAAAACCTCAGCATTTCTCAGAGTAGAGAAGCTCTCTGCTCCAAACAGGAAAAGTACCGCTCAGCTGGGACCCAGTATGTCCCCAAAAGGTTTAGGGCAATAAAGGCTTGGTTGCTGATAGGATTTTGGGAAATGATTGGACCACAAAGACTCTAATATCAGTGAATTAATCCACTTAATAATTCACTGATGAGATTATAACTTGATGGCATTATTAGGAGGAAGTGGAAACTTAGGAAGTGAGGTGTAATTGAAGGAAGTGGATCATAGGGACGTGACGCTGGGGACTGTGGTCCCTGGGTCCCTGGCTTTTTCTCTCTCGCTCTGCATCCTGGACTTTAGTGCAGAGAAAGTCACCTGAGGTCTTCACAGAAAGTGGCTCTGACACAAGGGGTCCAGATTGGGGACTGAGACTACATTTCCAACAAGTTTGAATGGCAAAGCTCCATAGTTCATGAAGGTCTTTTCTTAGTGGCCCTCCAATGTGTACAGAGGGAGGAGAATCAGTCACAATCTCTATAGGGAGCACATCCCATATCAGAGTATCAACTGGATAACCTTACTGAAAAAACAGTGCTGCTCCAGGCAGCAGATCATGTGTCACTCCTACAATGCAACTGGTCATCATGCTTATGATGACTGGTTACTTCTGGATTTTTCCAGAAAAGTCTGTTACTTACTTAGCCCACAGAAAGCTCAACAAATATCTGTGGCAGGAATAAATGAATGGAGGAAGGCACAGAAGGAAGAAGGAAGCTGAGTGAACTTGGCTCCTCGCTGGGCCTGTGCACACTGGGATCATTCTGTAAAGTTTTCTCTTAGTCATCCATTAAACTGAGGGAGCAACACACAAATATCATCAGCCGGGCGGAGAGCAAGGATGGTAGGGTTTGGAAGCTTGCCTTTCTTCCTCGGCTCTGTTCAGGATATATATACCACTATTTTTTTTTTTTTTCTCTTCTGAATTTCTTGAGAACAGACAATAATGCCTCATTATCCCATGCTTTATTCCTAAACACATCTGCATATAGTTCCTAAGAGCAAGGCCATATGCTTACAGGATTACAGGCAAGTAAGTGATCAATTTCAGGAAAGGTTTGCACTGATATAATACCTTCATCTAACCTACCATCAGCATCCAATGTTATCATTTTGCTCATGGATCGATTTTATAGTCAGACCTAGAAGGCTTTAAGGGCTGAATGCATATTAAGAATTAATACAAGTAATTAAGAATTAATATGAGCAGAGTGCTTTGGCATTTAGCAAGCCCTTTTGCTGCATTAGCTCTTTGGCTTGTCTTTTGCCTCTCTGAGGTCGGGCACAGGGGCCCCCTTGTGTCACCTAAGATGAAGAAGAGGCTGAGGACATAAAAAACAGATCCCAAGCTCAGGACCCCCCCAACTCCCCCATCCCTGCTTGCTGGTCACTTGAAAGACTATTCATTTTAGTTCATTAATGGACTGACCACTAATCCAAACATTTTAAATTTTAAAAAAAGCTTTTGGGTGCTTCTCTCTTACTGTACTTGTATATCTGCACTATGGATTCTAATTAATACCCAAAATATAGCCTCAGGATAAGCCCTGAGTCATCACAAGGGAGCAACCCAGTTTTCCATTGGAGGCCGATAGAATGGCACAGGGGCGTGGCCTCCCATGGGCCTGCCCAGTCCATTTGCAGAGCCCAACCCAGGTCACACACTGGACTGGAATCCCCAGTGAGCAAACAGTCCTGTTTGGGGCTGGCCTTGAACACAGAAAGCAAAGAGACACTGGAAGTCTCTTCCAGGCCACAGCTAAGTATTAGTCAGGGAGGGCAGGGCATTTCTCAGTCTCAGAAGTAGCCTACAGGGGATGCAAATCACCAACCTGCCTGCTGAGCAGAAAAGCACCAGCTTTGGAAATGGAACTGTGGGAGTCCAATCAGCTTCCATTAATTCAGCTGCCTGGGGCATGTAATGAGCTTTGCTGGGCTTGCACCATCATCCACACTCCCAGACAATAATGGGCACCACATAGGGGGCACAAAGGGGCAGGCACAGAGCCTGGCACACTAAGGCCTCTGCGGCTGGTGCTGAGAAGCATGAATGTCCTCTCTAGTGTGTGATTCTTAGGGCCCGGGCGGGCTCACATAGCTCTAAGGAGCCCCGTAGCTATGGGTAGAACATGAGTGAGATGAGGGGGTTTTCATGAAAGTCTGCAGGCTCACCAACTTCCAGGAACAGAAAATAACTGACCACCTTTGCAGCTTACACTGTCTCTGGTGACAAAATGGACTTCTCCTGTGCACAGTACTCTAGTGTCTTTGTCAGTGAGGGGCAGATAGGGCAAAACATTTACCTTTTCCAGAGCCTCTTTGTCAAGTAGTTCTTGCACAGCTAGAAGCTTGATGCTGTAAGGAAAAAGGAAACCACACTTGAAATCATTTTGTGTCACCAAAGCAGCATCACCCAAGTCACAAGAACCAAAGTGTGACATCTCAGCCTGCATTTCTGTGGCACCTTCCATCCAAAGGGGGACCTTTTGCTTGAATCAAATAATTGTTCCAAAAACTATTAAAAATGTGTCAGAATTTTAGTGATTTTCCCAAATGATTCAGCAATTGTAGTTTTAGGTCTATTCCTTGAAGAATTGGAAGCACGCACTTGGAAAGATATTTGCAGACCAACGTTCACAGCACCATTATTCCTATCAACCAAAAGGTAGGTGTGACACAAATGTCCACTGACAAATCAATGCATAAAGAAAGTATAGCACAAAATAGTCAATATATGCATTCAGCCTTAAAAAGAAACGAAATTCCAATACGCTACAACACAGAAGAACCCTGCAGACATGCAGAGTGAAATAAAATGGTCCATGATGCAAAATTTAGCTTACATGAGGTATCTAGAGTATTCAGGAGGATAGACAGAAAGTAGAATATGTTCTTCAGTAGCCTGGAAGTTGGGAGAATGGAGAGTTACTGTTCTATGAGTATGGAATCTCCCAGTTTGGAATAAAGAAAATGTTTTGGACATGGATGATGAGGATGATGACATAATGTATACTCCATCTTGCAGTACTGGTCACTTGGAAGTAGTTAAATGGTAGATTTGTTATGTATGTGTTAACAGAAAGCACTCAAAAAGTGGTTGATAATTGCCTCATTCAAAGCAATTGAATTGATTCTGAGAACTGTGAAGAAGAAAATGGTTACCAATATTAACTTTCACTGGGGGTCTTTTGGGTGGATAATGAGCAAACAGCTAAAATTCCTGCATCTAGGAGGGCCTGGCCTGCTGCACCCCGACTCAGCAAACACTGGTGGAACCTACCGGGTGCAGGAGGGATATCAATGATAGCCAGATGACATGCTGCCTGTCTGCAAGGAGCTCACAGCTCCCTGGGAAACCTGATCAGACAGGGACGTGACGTGTAATAGGCTAAGGGGACACACCGAAGTATGGATGGGGGCCTGGCCCTAAAGTGGCCACAGAAGACTTTTTGGAGGGCCCTAGATGGCCTTGCTAGGGGCCAGGTGGAAAAGAAGGTACACAAGAGCACAGGTGAGATTCTGGCCCTTCAGTGATATTCCCTACTGATCTGGTTAATGTGCATGGGGTCCCTGGTCCTGCAATCTCCACCCTACCAGCCAGTATGGTTCTGCAGAGCAGAGATGGCACTTCCTGGACCTTACAGATTCTTTTATGGGATAGTGCTAGGGAAAAGCTTGCCTCAAACTTACAGAATTCTTTATACTCTCTGTGGACAGTTAAGTATATCCAAGCAAATGCAAGACACCAGCCAGGCGCAGTGGTGCATGCCTGTAATCCCAGCATTTGAGAGGCTGAGGCAGGAGGATTGCCGTGAGTTTCAGGCCAGCCTGGCTACAAAGTGAGTTCAAGACTAGCCTGAACCATATAATGATACTTTGCCTCAAAAAAAATTTTTTTTTCAAAAAAATTCAAAACATCAGCTCCAGGAAGTACAAGGAATATTTACAAGGTTATAAGAAACCACCACCAACAACCACAATTGAGCAAACATCAGAGAGGACTAGTCTCTGGGTCTTTCTTTCTTTGCACTGGACAAGTCTGCTTTTGTTGCTTCTTTGGGTTGGAAGGCATCTCCCAAGCATTACAACACAAACCCCATCTTATCACCTCATCCTGGTTGAAATGTGAATGCCAGCTCCCGCAAGCAGCCTCCAGGGACACCAAGGGAAACACTGTCCTTGTTCCAAAACACTGCACTTTCCTTGATGCACTAATTGGTATCTCTGCCATTTTTTTTCAGTCCCAGGTTCTGAACTTAGGATCTTGCACCTGCAATGTAGGCTCTTATGCTGTTCAGCTATATTCCCAGTCCAACTAAGTGCTATCTTTAAGGTATTTATTTGTCGGGGTGATTTTGTCCTGTTTCCTCCCAAGTGTGGAGGCTCAAAAATACATCTGCACATGGAAAGCATCAAGGAGAATTTGCTGGTGAGGCCAAGATGATTTTACAGCTCATATATCCAGCCCACACATTTCTATGATAAGTAAAAATCACAGGACAGGTTTTAGTTCGTCCACAGAAAAAAGAATGCCTCAAACAGAACACCTAGATGGATATGCCACGATGATAGCTGCTGCGTATAAGTGTGGAGTCACTGCCATTGATGAAATCCTCCTGGCGGCAGGTCAAAGCTACTGGCACTCCTCAGCACATTCCAATTCTCTGTGCACAAATCAAAGACTCCAGGTGAGCAATCCAGAGAGCAACTCAGCCTCCCAGATGCTAGGCAGTTGTAGCTCAAGTTTCAGAAGCTTATGCTGCTACCTCTAAAGTAACCACTGGAAAACACTGACATTGGAGGAACTTTTTAAAGAGCCTTTATTCCTGCTTCTTCTGAGGTCATGAGGTCTGATTTAGTGTCAGATATCAGATACCAACAGGTTTGAGAAGTTTACAGCACTGTCATAATATATACCTCTCCCTTTTTCTCTGTTCAAAAGATGCAGTGCTCAAACCGCCACGGAACATGATCTGAAATCCTATAGTTTCTGGCTCTGGATGACTCTTATTCAGGTAACAAGATGAAGGGTGCCGCTCCCCACCCTACCACAGGAATCACAAACCCCTGGTACACATACTGCTTCTTTCCGTCACCTCCCCCGCTAGCACGGAACTTCCCCACACTAAACTCTGATTCAACCTCAGAATCCTTCTTGACACCCAGCAAGCTGCCACTGAATGTGACCCAAACCCACTTAACATCTGCCTTAACACCAGCGTCAAGTAGGATTAATGGGAAGGGGAATGGGAAAGGCAGAAAAAGAAACAGACTTTCATACTGTAAAACTCAGACCCGAAATGGGACAGCTTTGCGCGTATCGGAAGAAAAGATGACAAGAGACCAAAATCTACAGAACTTGAGTTTCAAAATGGAACCGTGGGTGTCTCAGGGAGCTGCCGCTCCCCTGGTTCTCTCTGCAAGCTGTGCCTTGTCCTCCTGTGAGCTGCGTCTTTGAGAACATTCTCAGGTGTTCCCTGTTACATAATTATCCTCGTGGCATTCCTAGGATACTGGACACTCTTATTTCAGTGTTTATGATATCAGATTCTTCCAGCTCATCAGGTACTTCCCAGCAGGAAATTTCATACATAGGAATGAGCAAGAGACCTACTTAGCAGATCTTCTTCCATTTGACACCATCTATCTCCTGGCCCTGGAAGAGTATCTCAGAGCTCATTTTCAATTTATCATCCCCACCTTCCTACCGAGAATACCACAAACACCTTGAAGATCTGCTGTATTTTAGAAACTGTGTCATGTGTCAGAGCACAGAGCTAGGGTGCTGCCTGGATGCATGCCTGGGGGTGGGGTAGCTTCCTGAGGACCCCCAAGGTTCCAGCAGGGATCAGGCGAGTTGGCCAAAGGGACACAACTGTTGGTGGCCTGGGGCTTGTTCAGTATGCTCCTGTGGGTTTCCAGATGACAGCTGCAATGAACTGCAACTTTCATTTCTGCCTCTGCTTGGAAAAGGGAGGCAAATCACACAGCAGCAGCTGACAGATGGGATGCAGTTCAAAAGGATGCACCTTCAGGGGCAAGCTTCAAAGTCAGACAGGTTAGACTAGGATCATCCCAATGTGTGCAAATAACGTCTGCTGAGCAAGCCTCCTCACCGAGGCAGGGGGCTGGAGGGTGACGACTCATCCAGTTAGAGCACAGCTAGCACAGCCAGGTCCAGATGGCACCAAGCAATGCAGACACAGCTCAGCTCTGAGGAGGGCAGGCACAGTGGATGATGAGGAAGAGTGGGCAAGGGAGAGGCAAGCTGCTCTGCACCCCTGCAGTCTAAGGTGCTTTAAGATGCAGAAGAGAATGAGGGCTACAAGGCACTCAGGGGTAAACAGCAAACTCTGGAGACATGCGTGCCTCTGGGACAGAGTGTACCCAGAAGGGAGTAGGACCAATACTCATTCCAGCGTGCCTCCTCTGGGAACTTCTGCACTTTGCCTTTCCACTGCATTAACACTGACAAGATGGGGCATGGGATCCGAAGGTACGCAATAAATAGGAGGCGAGAATGTTTAAATAAAAATTTTTAAAAATTACTATTGTAAAAGTCACATTGCTATGACTCCTCCTTGCTTCATACATACTTCTATCTCATTACTCTGGCTACTCTCCAAAGCAGGTCTAAAAGTCCTTTCTGTGACTTTTTGTGGCTGTCTTGATGTCCCGGATCGATGTAAACATTTACAGCAATTTCTGTCCCACAAAAACATTATGATGTGTCCTCACCTACTTTATTCACCAGATCTGCTATTTTGTGACTTCCAGATCTTCCCTGAGACAAAAATGATTCCCTTCCAACAAGGTTCTGTGCTGCAAATACAGCACCCATTCTGTCGTCCCCATACCAAAGAGTCACTTCTACTTTCAGGCTTGTTACTGAAGATGCACAACTGGTGAGGCATGGCTGCTCTCAACGGGACTCCTCCAGTGGACACGGGACAAAGCCGGTTGGAAATCTCTGGAAAGGATTCACCACTCCAGACACCACAGAGAATATTCAGAACTCCTGGGAGGAGGTCAAAGTGCCAACACGGACAACAGTGTGGAAGAATTGATTCCAACCATCGTGGATGACTTTGGGGGTCCTAGACTTCAGGGGAGGAGGTAGCTGCAGATGTGGTGGAAACAGCAGGGGAATGAGAACTGGAAGCGGCACCTAGAGACGGGACTACAGGGCTGCGGTCTCAGAATGGAACCTCAGGAGACGAAGAGCTGCTTCCACAGAGGAGTCCGCAAAGGAGTCTGCTCCTTGGGATAGATGCTAACTGCTCCTCGTGAAGATGCTGTGATGCTGCCGCAGGAATGAGAGGCTTTATCACGCCACAAAACCTCAACTGACAAGG